TGGCATATAAAATGAGCTGAATTACCCAAATTCGACAGTAGCCTGTGTTATTCAGAAGTGAAGTTAAGCGGTGATTATGGGAATCTGTTTCGAATCGGCAGACCCTCAAAACTGGGAGATAGGGACCGACGGATGCTGTCCAGAGAAATTCGGAAGAACCTCTTCCAGCCTTTGGCCCACATACGCTATTAGTTTCAAAAGGCAAACAGAAGTATTTTTTCAATGAATATCATCCTTAAGAAAGGAACATCTGCTTCGTTTTCATGGTTGAGCTTGTAGGGTTTATATTTATTTTAACTAAAATTTATTTTAAGTTTAAACTATCTTTCCTGTCAAGCCTTACTTTCCCCTGGAACTGCCAATGCCAGAGTATGTAAATTTTAGTAGAACGCGCAAGGATTCAAAGTATCAGCGGAAGTATTCTGAGTTAAATAGAATGGAAACGAGTTCGAGGTGTGCTGTTCTTACTTCCCGAGCGCGGAGGTAGTTAGCCAGAAATTGAAGAACCCCGCGTTTCGGCCTGTGTGCTTGCCTCGCAGAATTGTTATCGTTCAACGTGATATTCAAAGTTTGCTGAATTAGCAGCGGTATTGTATTGTAAAACGCGGTGAGGTTAGTTTACGTTTAGAGAGCCTCGTAGTTAGAGTCTTGTTATTATTTCTTTCAGGTTCTTATTTTTATTTTACCGCCGGGTCGGCGTAGTTTGTTGTGAGCGACAGAGCACGCATTGTAATTTCTTAAGCTGAATAAAAAGGGAATTAAACCCTTAGCAAGACTCTGTCTATTTTCCAGTTTCAACAGTCACCTCTTGGTTGCGTGCAGGTTGGAGGCGCGCAACTCTACAAGCTGCTGCCTACAAGCCTTTGATCAAAAAGTTCAACCGTGCTTCTCCTGATAATGCGGTGCAAAGCACGCGGACAGTGGACCATTGATCAATGGAAGCGAGTTCTCTGGAGCAACGAATCGAACCGACATTCAACCTCTACCGTTCAGATGGCGAGGTCTGAATCCGGCGTTTTCTCGGAGAACGCCTACTGCCAGAACGCATTGTACCGACAATAATGTTTGGCAGAGGTAGAATTATGATTATGGGGGTGTTTCTCTTGGCATGGACTGAACCGTTGGTCCATGTCCATGGTAAACTGAACACCGATGCCTATTTTGGATGACAGGATGTTTCTTACGTTACGGCAGTTTTACGGGCTGGAGCCATGTTACTTTCAGAATGACATCGCCAGCTGTCATGTTGCAAGGTCCACCGCGGATTAGTATGATGACAATGGCTTTAACAGAATAGACTAAACTTCCAAAGCCGAGACTCGAGCGCTATCGAAACCTCTAAGACGAGTTGGATAACCGAATTAAGGAATGCAACTATCGGTAAAGGAACTGACATGTCTTCTCCAAGCCAAGTAGAAGAAAATTCCAATAGTCGTCATACAAAGACTTGTGAAAAGCACGCCTCGGAGGACTGAGGCTGTATTTTCTCATGGAGGCCCCACCAGCTATTTAATTTGAATATTGTTATTTTTATCATAGGTGTTCAAGTTCTTATTGGTATTCACAAAGCTTCTTGTGGAGCCCTTACTGTCACAACCGTCAGTCGTGGAGACATATACTAAATTGCACAAATATCTGTAAGAAGCAAATATTCATGTATATTCCAATGTTAATTTTAAATATCGGTTTTGCGAAAGATATGAAGTCTAAATTTTTTATATGTACCCTTGGTGCCCATAATTTATATTTAGTAAAAGACTGCATTCATAATGAAAAAAAAAGAAGAAAATTGACTCTGGTAAGACATAATTGACGGATCTCGTCAATTTTTGTCTTATCAAACCTTTTTGTAAAATTTTATTTTGAGCATAAACATTTACTCAATGTAACTAGATTCTGGGTAACTTTTCCGGAGGTAATCTTCTTAAATTTAAAAATTGCAAAGCGAAATTATATATCTTTTAAAATAGTGTTATAAGTGGAAGTATAAGTCTGCGATCCATGATTGCAAAGGTAAATGCGGCAGCAGTGTTCTGTCGACACAGTGCGAATATACCTCTCATACATTTAATTCCTGACAAGAGATCCTGCATAGTTTTGAGCTAAGGATGTTAATTTCTCATTGTTTTAATTTCAGTTAGTTCTAAAATGTCTTCAGCGTAGAAATGTTTTCTGTAAATACCTTTCACGATTCCTATTTTCTTCTAAACATGCGATTTTTCTCTTTAAATCCTTAAATCTGTTTCGCTGCTTAAATATGTGCATTTAGTATTTAATTTCTTAACGTGCCTCATGTAATCGTGAAACATACCTCATGAAGTGGTAAAGAGTTTCCAAGTAAGTCGACAAAGTGAGAAAGCAAAATTATCGTTGATACTCTAGTTTGACCATATTTAGGACTCCTCTCATTAGGATCAGAGACTCATTAGGATCCGTTTGAGAGATCAAACTAGAGTCATAATGGATTGGGATATAAAGTCATACTAGAGAGGCTGAAATTAATTCTATATTCTGCTTTCTGCCGCGACTAGCTGGTGTAAATTACTAGCTACGTTCCGGCTCATTTTAAATACGATTAACTGCAGATAGAAGAAATACATAATCTAAAATGCAAAATTCATCAGAAGCGAACAAAACAGCCAAACCATAACTGTGTTAGGTCGAAACGTCATCAGAAATGTAGAAGTACGGAAGTTCGTGGCTTAGAGGTGGCGCCATATCGTGAGGTCTGGTACAGTTGCTCACATTCTTACTACAGTTGCTCACATTCATTACTTACAGTTGCTCACATTCATTACTGGTTACTTAGTATAAGAGAATTAGAATTCAAGTCATCAGTAAGTCCTAGAAACTGCAGGAGAAGCTGAATTTTGCATCCTGCTAATCCAGTTCTTTAATAATCTTAGCAATCAGAATCAGAATCATCAATTTCTCTTTCTGGTACCAACTTCTAAAGAATTTTATCCAGTATATCAAATACGGGCAAAGGTCGCTCGCTTGTTTTTAAATTTAAATCAATGGTGCGTGAAGTCAGCCATGACTTGTGAGTTACGGACTTACACGAGCAGGAAATTAGCAAAATGTTTATGCAAATACAGTCAATCAGAAAAGTCCAGTCGAGCTTTCAACCCGTGATCTTGAGTCTTCGATTTAATCTTTAGCTTCAGCGATTTTCATCAGAGTCATGGCAGCTTTGAATACAGCTAATAACTTTGCTGCTGTAGTCTTTGCTACACATATCTTTTCTACTTGTTAGATAATAGTTCTTAGGAAGTAATTTATTTCTTTATTTTTCAGCTAATCTACAGCTTCGTTACTTTCATCAGGAGGGGCTTCAGTCAACACTCCCTAGCCCTTTGTGGTGCACTACACTTTAAAGTCGATATTTCAACAGGAAAAGTTGTATGCAGTCTATCTAGGCCTAAAGGAGTATACAGATAAAATTTTGTAAAAATTGCACTTACCGTTTCAATTTTGTGGGTGTTCCATGAGGTGGAACATTGCGCCACCAGAGCTCTTAAAAGTGCGACTAAGCGAGCATTGCAGTGAAGCACGGAAATAAGTAGAAGCTTATGTATAGTAATGAAAAAACACTGTATTATAGATGTATGCATGGTTTTCTGGATATACACAACTTTATTGAATATATATGGATAAATGAGATAAATATATGTATATACACAAGTCCTATATAGAAAAATATTTACAAATTTTTCGATTTCATAGCTTCGTGAAATTTTCAAAGCATGTCACATCTTTTTGATAGAAGCACAAGCTAACTTTGCAGGTTTTGAACAAAAAACCTGTTTTGTGCGGCTTCTGTTCCGTGAAACAATACGTTTAGAATTCCAAGTAAAAAGAAAGAGAAAAAGAAACTCTTTCCTCTTCGGAAAGATTTTCCTGCCAATTATGCAAAATTAATAATAAAAAATTAACTGCAATTAATATTAACAATAAAGAAAAATGAGCTATAAGATATACATACACAAAAAATGTCTACACAATTATTGTAAATAAACGGGAATGAGACTAAAAAGCGATAGCAAAATAATTCTTGCAGCTCCCCTAAGTAAAGATGACTCAAGCTACTGATAAAATTCCCGCCTGAAAACTACTCACAAAAATTTCAAGATGCCCATATTAGGGCTTTCATAGCACAAACCACACCTCGCCCCTCAAGACTGCTTTGTTTGAATTCATTCTCCCAAAACCACGGAAATAGAAAACCTATACAACAGATGTTTTCTCCTAAGACAGATGTTCTGATGCGTAATAGCATGAGATCTTTCAAGTCGCAGTGTTCCCGCTAATGGAACACCCCGTTTAATTTAATGATTCTGCGCATGCTTTTTGTATGAAAAATGTAAAAAAAAAATATATAACAAATAATATAGAGTGCAGCCATCAAAATTATACGAAAATTTTTTTTAAACAAATTTTTTTTTTGTGTCACAAAAAAATATAGAAAATTATTAGAAAATAAGTGGATTTCAATAACACATCATAAATGAAAATTCTGGGTCTCCTTGTGATATGCTGCCATCTACTATTTAAAAAGAGAAGTTTGAAGTATATTATAAAGGCATTTTTATCCATTTACGGTTGAATTTAACGGTTTCAGAAGCGATTTAATTTGGGTGTTCCATGTAATGGAACACTGAGCAACAAAGGGCTAGAACTAACTGAATCCAGGAGGTGCTGCTTGAACTCTTTCTTCAGTTTTTCCCTATAAAGCAGTTTTAAGGGATTTTTCTGAGTCATTTCGTCTAAGTTGAGGGGAATCTTCTTCCTTTTTAGGTGGGATAACTGCTATAGGTGGGGCAGCTTTCTTTTCGAACTTTTCCTATTATTCTTTGCAACCACGATAACTGCAGACATGATTTTTATTACAGAAAATACATGGCGGTTTTTTTTCAGAAGTAAGAGCGACTACTTAGATGTTAACGTTTTCAGACTACTTCGATGGCTTTTCCCACTGTATGGTCAATTTCTCTTTTCAGAGTGGTGGCTAATTATATAAACTGGAGAGTTGTTCATGAGACTTTGCCCCTATTGTCGAAGGAATGGAGGACTCTGGGTCAAAGGCCATTGGACAAGCCAGACGTCCCAGAAAAACAACCACGTTGGAAACAATGCGTTTCTTCCCTTATGGATAATTTGGCAGTTGCAATTAATACTTATTATGTGGAATATCACTTAGATAGAGAAACCTATTATAAAGTAAGTAGCCTTTGATTAATGCTTAAATATCCTTTTATCTTCAAACATAAAATGCTGTAGAAAGCCAATAATGTTAAATCGCATTCCCGGTGTACAAAATACCAGAAACCGGAATACATATTCCTACTTTCTGGAATATTAATAATCGATACAAATTAAGAAAAAAATCTGAAAGGTTTTCAGATTTTATATTATGCCCAAAATGTTTTTTAACGTTTTGTGTGTTACCTTTATTTATTAAATATCACGCTTTTCGCACTTAAACCACATAAAATTCAATTCAACAGCAATATCAAAAAATATTTGGAAAAAGCATATCTTTAGAATTTCTGATACACAGCCTCGCACGTTGGGGATAAAAATGTTTTTTTTTTTTTTTTTTTTTTTTTTTTTTTTTTTTTTCGTACAGTGTTGTCATTGGTCGCTTTGAAATCATTGAGTTTGTTAATCAAAAATTGGTAAAAGTTTTACAAAAATTTGAAACAGATAATGAAACAAATTCTAAATTCAAAATTCGGGCTTTAAAGTTCTTATGTTCGTTCGGAGGATAATGCTATGCAAAATTTGATGGCTATAGGTACCGTTGTTTTTCACAATGCGAGAAACATTCAAGCATTCATGCAGATTCTTCATTATTTAGTTTCTTTAAATATAGATAATATTTGGTGGCAACAGTTTGAAAAGTGAAACGACGCAAAATGCCGTCTTGAAATTAATATCCGTTTGGGTCTAATGATCTTTGGGCTAATACATGCAAAAAGTAAATGAACCGTTTGATACTCTCTTATTGAAACATTATAGCATTAGTTCGATGAATGTACTTCAGTCATGCATTGTAAAACGGTATGGTCAATTTTTAATTAAATAATAATGTGCTTTTGTAAAATTTCATCCTTATTTTTCAGGTAGACCATATGTTTCTTACTCTAAAAAACGTTATGGCAAATGTCGTTCTAGAGAGTGAGTGGATGGATGTAGAGACTTCAATGACTGCCAGAAATAAAGTTTGTTACATTGCTTACTTTTTGTTACTGTATCATGAACAATCATAAATATTATAAATTAAAAAAAAACATAAGCATTCATATTATAATTTACACCTTGCACACCACCAAAAAAAAAAAAAAAATTGGGGAAGTTCTATATCTCTCGTTCTACTGGACCGATTCTCGAAATTTAATTTCAGTTTTTCCATGCCTCGAAAGCGTGACTTAGGCTATATATTAGGTTTATATATAGCATTGTTTTATCACAGGTATTGTGACCAAAAATTGGGCTTTTTATGAAATAACATACCAATATTTTTTTATATTTTGATTCTATGACTCAAATTATACCAATGTGCCAAGTTTTGTGAAAATTGCACTATTAGTTTTTAAAAAATTAGATCTCACAATTTTAGCACCGCCATGTTAACTGAATTTGGTATATATTTATCAATATCTAACTTAATCTATTTTTATTTAACTTATTTGATTCTTCCTTTCACATTTCAAAATTTAGGTTTCTTCCATATAAAATTCGCCCATTTATTATGACTTAATTTTAAAATTTGTATTCTTAAATTATTTTTATAAACTTTTAGAAAAACATTTTGAATTAAAACCTGTAAAATCTTTATCATCACCTAACCTAGATGTATTTCTAAGAATTCCTGCAAAAAATTAGAGTTTTTTATTCAAAATTTCCTAAGCTATTCGTGAATTTACATATTGGCGCGTTTTGAAGTTTGAGATATTTGTAATAAGCGATAAAAATGTCAAATGTGGTTTTATGTACTGTGTTAAAATTATTTGAAAACGTGAACGATTACATTTTTTCCGCTCGTGTAGAATGAAAAAAAAAGGAAAGGAAAATAGGTCGCTGTACATTGAGAAGCTCGCCAAGTGAATTATACTTGGCGCAAACTAAAAATTTTCGGTAACTTTCTCACCAAAATTTACAAAATTAAATATTTAGGCATAATTTGAGTCGTAGAATCCAAATATGAAAAAAAAATGGTATGTTATTTCAGATAAAGACCAATTTTGTGTCAAAATTCCTATGTTACAATAATGCTGTATATAAATCCAATACATAGCCTTCGTCCCTCTTTCGAGACATAAAAAACCGAGTTAAATTTCGACAATCGGTCCAGCAGAGCGGATGATATAGGACTGTCCCATTTACTTTTGTGCAAGGTGTGCATGCCATAATTGTCATAATCCTAAGTCATGAATGTTATTAATTTCTTTCCTGCCTACGGAAAGTGTTTAAGCCGTTGCCAATCCAGGAAAATTAACACTGCGCATGCGTGCATGTGTAGATAACTCAGTGAAATCGTCGGCCGAATATCAGTCTCGTTGTGAATAGTTAGTTCTTATACCATACTTGAACAGACTTGAGCCGCAAGAGTATTTGGAAAAAATCTTTATACCTGTTTCCGTCAAGTGTGGTTGCTTAGCAACGAAGTTCGGCTTATGCCACATGTGCCTAATAAAGCTGTCGTGTGCACTACAGAAAAAGTAAATTCATTGAAAAATATGCATTTGAAAAATATGCATTTGAAAAATATGCAGCATACAATATAATGACATTTTTTATTCGACTTAACAACTGAATTAACTGCTGAAAAAAAGTTAATAAAATTACATGTATGACATTACTCAGTTAAAAGTAAAGATTTATGAAGGACATGCATAAGATCATTATGTACTTAGATTCATCAATATCTACTTAATAATCGTGATATATGAACAGGAAGGAGTAGATAACAGTTCATGCAGCAAACTAAACAGCTCCAAGAGTAAAAGCAGCTGAAATAGAACAACAACAAGTCAAATTTTCTTTTAAACATGAGGAATATCATGTTAAAATAACTAAAAAATAACTAAAATAATTCACGAAACAAAATCTAAAACAGTCGCTAGCTAGTGGAATTCAATAGAGATGTATTTTATCGACTGAATAATTGAATTAATGGTTGTGTAACTGTAATGTAGCTAAAGATTTTATAGAGTTGTTCAAGTCTTCTGGAAGCTAGGAGAAAAATCACTCCTAGATCATCAAAAATTATTTTTCTGGAATCTTCTAGAATATTCTCTAGCTGGTAAAACGTCCCAAAACTGTTCATATTTTATATTCTAGTTGTGCTATTTTTACAATTCAAATTCCGATAGATTTAGAATTACAAAATATACATTATAATGCCCCAAATAAAAAAATACACTAAAGTACAAGCCCAATAAGTGACCGAAGCTGCAAATAAAATTATTAAATAAAATACACTCTAACTAAACAAAAGCAACGCGCAGTATTACAAAAATGCTCTAATATGTCCCCCATCAAGGATCCAATATGCGGAAAGCCGTATATGAACACACATAATTACCACGAATTGTTTATATGAATTGATATATTAACTGTTTATATGAATTCATATATTAATTGTTTGATTATTCGCAACTGCTATGGTTAACTTTGGATTTGGAAATTAGATTTTTCACTGCTTTGCGTACATAATTTGAGAGGCTTTGCAGCATTATATTGGCTTATTATTATTTATAATGGCATTATATATCAGCACACATTAGTAATGTTGTTGTACTCCGCGTACAGGGATACACTGTTACTCCGCGTACAGGGAGGGTTTATATTGCTTGTAACCTGCTTTCGAGAACATTCTGGACAAACCGGTAAGAATACGTTCTAGAATTTTCTTGCTTCATCTATGACATACGGTAATTTTGTCGCCAAATGACCGATTTCGCGCCAAATCTGGCAACCCTAAACTAGCTTTGCGGAGAAGTTATCTTACCGCAGCTGGACATGTCGTAACAATATGAATAGTTCATATAATTGCTTTACGCTGTTAAGATAAAAATATACCATTTTCCTTTCAGATGATATTAATTTTGTTTTAGGCTTTTTCATTCCATTACACCCATTTAATGTAGATAAAATTCGAAATCGTTGAGATAAACAATCATAATATGATTGCAGGATTTGTTTTTTATCATGTTAATAATAAGATAATATCATATATGATATAAAGGTACAAGGATATACATGAAGGATATAGGGATATACTTGATTATATTATATATATGATATCACAATAATATCAGTAGAACTTCCAGTTATCCAAATCAATTATTGGGACCGGATTCTATTCGGATAATCAAAAATTCGGATAATTCGATTTTTTCCGAAGGAAGCGTCTACGTACACTTTAATTAATTACTGTATGTTGAAAATGGGAGAATAAAACTATTTTTTAAAGGAAAAGAGGCTTTAATAAGCTGTTTGATTGTCTTCATCCGTTTTCGGGTAGCCAAGCCGCGCATCCGCTTGACAATGAAAAACTGCATGTGGTCACACTCGGGCTGACGCTCCATCCACTTCAACGCAGTTTCAAGGCCGACAAACGCTGCACTAGCTGATGGTCCCGTGTTTGCTTCAACTTCAACATTAAGGTCATCTTAGACACTTTCTTCTCTCACACTTTCAATAAATTCATAATCATTTAGAATTTGAAACCCAGGGTCTGACGAATCACACACCATCCATTCTTTTGTATCCTCAGTACTAACTTGTGAACATCCAGGAATTTTCAAAAGAATGTTTCTTAATTCCTCAAGTAACACGTTAGTCTCATCTTCTCTTTTTTTGAGTTTCTATTTCCTTTTTCTCATTTTCCTTCTCTTCTTCAGTTAATTCTGAAATTCTGAAAGCAATTCGGATAATCAGCGATTCAGATAGTAGGAGTTCGGATAATTGTTGTACTGTATCCTCAGTACTAACTTCTGAACATGCAGGAATTTTTCAAAAGAATGTTTCTTAATTCCTCAAGTGACACGTTAGTCTCATCTTCTCTTTTCTTGAGTTTCCATTTCTTTTTTCTCATTTTCCTTCTCTTCTTCAGTTAGTCCTGAAACATTCTGAAAGCAATTCGGATAATCAGCGATTCAGATAGTAGGAGTTCGGATAATTGTTGTACTGTATCCTCAGTACTAACTTCTGAACATGCAGGAATTTTTCAAAAGAATGTTTCTTAATTCCTCAAGTAACACGTTAGTCTCATCTTTTCTTTTCTTGAGTTTCTATTTCCTTTTCCTCATTTTCCTTCTCTTCTTCAGTTAATTCTGAAAAATTCTGAAATTCTGAAAGCAATTCGGATAATCAGCGATTCAGATAGTAGGAGTTCGGATAATTGTTGTACTGTATCCTCAGTACTAACTTCTGAACATGCAGGAATTTTTCAAAATAATGTTTATTAAGTCCTCAAGTAACATGTCATCCTCATCTTCTTCTGTCTCTTCTCTTTTCTTTTCTAGAGTTTCTATTTCCTTTTACTTCTCTTCTTCAGTTCACTCTAAAAAATTCTGAAAGAAATTCGGATAATCAGGGATTCAGATAGTCGCAGTTCGCATAAATGAAGTTGTACTGTATCATAAGTCTCGAACTGTTCTTTTTTAAGTAATTTATAATGTAGTAATTTTTTTACTTGAAAAGGATTTCAAGCTGAAATTTGCTGGTTTGTATTTGTGGTCATATCGTAAATTATAAAGAAAGGAAAACACGGGGATGTAAAAAAACAAAGGGAATTGCGGGAGTTGTGGAAAAATGTGGGGACTGCTTAATCATCTTACCTCTGTGCATTTAGTTTCATAGACAAAATATAGAAAAATTAAATGCACTATGAGATGGTGTCTCATCATCCCAATAATGTTCGCCCTACGCCTACTCTAGCTTAGCGGAGAGAAGGACAAATAGCGCTCGTAAACAGAATCATCATTTTGTGAATCGCGGCACGTTTCCGTCTTCTTTTCTTAAATTCTGAAAGTGATTCGGATAATCAGTTATTCGGATAGTTGGAGTTTGGATAATTGGAGTTGTACTGTATACCATTATAAGGTATTTCTCCCGCCTTCTTAGCGTGCCTTTGTGGTATAGTGGTCCACATGCTGGGCACGTATTCCAGAGGCCCGCGGCTCTATTCCAGGCGAAGGCGTTGCTCATTTTTCATCTCTCCTGCTTCCAAAAAAAAAAAAAAAAAAAAGAACTAATGTCTCTACAGTGTCGCCCTAACTAAAAGAGTGGGGGATGATGATTCTCCACACCCAGGATTTGACGATTGGGTCCCCTAAGGCCCCGTTCAGACGAGGGCGTAAAGGGCATAAGTGGTTAAAGCCGAGCTCCGTTGCCAAGGCAACCAGTCTCTGCTACGTCACAGAATCTGGTTGAGGGCTCGTGGCATAGGGTTCAAAGTTTTTAACTTTACGCCGAGTTTGGGGTAAGCGTCGACCAATCAGAGCGAAGCTAAAACGAAGCGGCTTTCTTTAGACGATTTCGCTATCACATCGAAGGCGACGTTTTTTTTAATATAGAACACGTCGTATCCGAATGAGTTGTAATCGTATCCGAACGAAATAATGAGTTGCAATCGTATCCGAACGAAATAAAGAGTTGATCTCGCAAGAAATCTACCATGATGACATGCATTTTTTAATGAGTTTTTAATGCATTTTTAATGAGTTTTTCAATTTATATTGAAAAATATGGATGAAAACTCGTAAAGCGAAAGTTAAGCTCAGGATTATGCACGCTGTGTATGATCCTGTAGATGATTGATCCCATCCAATATTTTTTCATTTTATTGTGAAAATTCTTTAAAAAAATGCATGATTGCAAAAATTTTATTTTTTCTGTGTAAATTATTATTATTACTTTCTTTCTGTCTATAATTTTTTAAAAAATTATTGCTATATTTTTTTCCTGTTTAATTATTTTTGTATTTAAGAATAAATTTATTGAAAAAGCTGGAAATATTGTATTGCTATTTGCTTCAAATGCTGATTTTCTTTCCAAACAAACTTCATGAATTAATTTTACTAAAACATGGAATCAATATCAAAAATCTGCTGCTTTTTTTTTACAGTAAAAATATTACTTTTAAAAAACAGGAAAAATTATTTTCACTTATTTAAGAATAGTGACAATTCAATGGTGTAAGCTTTGTATAAGTAATAAAAGTTTAATCTTTTGAGAAAATGCTCTTATGAATTCCAAGAAAGAAAAATGTGAAATATCCTTAAAACAACAGTCAACAGTCTAGACAGTTTTGTCTCCTGTTGATGTTCTGTTCTGTTTTTTAATTACATTCTCCATGAAAGGAATTGACTTTTAATGAAACTGAATAGCACACATAATTCATAACATGGACTATAATTTAATGAATAGTATTTGTTATTATTATCCACTCTTTATTACTATCATTTGAATGGAATTTTGATCATTAAATTCATGCTACTTATTTCTCTAGTAGAAATTCCTCGATACGGTATAAATGTTTATAATTTTGTTGTATTTGAAGACTTGGGTACCTAAAACTTGTCAATGTGAAATTACTTTTGAGATATTGGTCGTAAATAGAAATGAGAGCATATGTTGAAATTAAATTGTTTTTGGTGCTTTAATATGCATGTCTGCCAGTGATTGAAGAATTGTCATAATCTGTCAGCAAATGAAAAATCGTTAAAAGTAATTACTTCTGACAACAGACGTGGATGAAACTTACATCTATGACATCTCACAGCACAGCAGAGTTTATTTTAATTACTCATATGATGTAAACGTACCAGTTTGCAGAATTATCCACAAAAATAATAATAATGTATGGTAAGTGCTGTTTTTAGCTTAACTGCTTTCACACCTGCAAAATGGAAAAATATTATATACAGGCTATCTGTTAGTTATCTTCAAGATTTTTTTTAAATTAGGCATATATAGAATATCGTATTTCTCATAAGAGAAATTATATACAAAAATTGAAGAAGGTTTTATATATATAAATATGCATGTGTATGTTTATAGCATAGAGAGTACTACAGTACAATGCAGAAATATTCCATACTGCTTTGCACAGAAAGATATGAGCCAACCAATTATTGGTCTTTCAAAAAAATATCTCTAGACCATTTCGTTCTTTTCTTTTTTTACCTTCTTCCGTTGCTTCTTGGCTTATAAGAAGGGCAGATAAAAGAGCATTCTGTTGAACAGTAAAACTTTGTGTTGAGCTGAAAAAGCCATGACACAAAATAACGAAAACGAGCAGAGCGAGCACGAGAAATCAATTGAGCTAGAAAATAGCGCGCGAAAGGTGTAGACACATCCACGCATGCGCAAATCTAGCTTCTCTCATTGGCCACAGCTTAGACTCCGTCTCGCAGGTGTGAACGGATGTCCCGTATTTTATGCCCTTATGACTGTGCCTCTATGCGCTTTACGCCCACGTCTGAACGCACCTTAAAACCCTATTCGCTCTTTAAAAAGGGGAGTCTATAAGGTATTTCTCCCGCCTTCTTAGCGTGCCTCCGTGGTGTAGTGGTCTGCATGCTGAGAGCGTATTCCAGAGGTCCGTGGCTCGATTCCCGGCGAGGGCGTTGCTCGTTTTTTATCACTCCTGCTATTGAAAATACCTAATGATTGTACAGTAGCGCCCGAACTAAAAGGGGTGGATGATGATTCTCCAAACCCAGGATTTGGCGACTGGATCCCCTAAAACCCCAGTCGCCCTTTAAAAAGGGGAAGTATATAAGGTATTTCTCCCGCCTTCTTAGCGTGCCTCCGTGGTGTAGTGGTCTGCATGCTGGGCGCGTATTCCAGAGATCCGTGGTTCGACTCCCGGCGAGGGCGTTGCTCATTTTTTGTCGCTCCTGTTTCCAAAAAAAACTTGATTTCTCTACATCATAAGCTAAAGTTTTTGTTTTTCAACGTTATTGTGAATCATTCTCTATTTCTTAGGCTGTAAATTTTACAGATATTACATTAAAAAAATAAGAAAAACCCTTTTAAATTTTTATAAATATTTGTGTTTTGTTTATTAAGTTTCAATAGAACTCGAAAAAGTTAATATCTTAGTATATACTTGATGGCGAGTGCTTGGAATGAAATGCTTCACATAATGTTGGTTTGTGCATTAGCACTGAAGGCGTAATATTCCTCAGGCACAGTTTTCATTAAAGAATCATAAGTCAAAAAATTAACTACGAAATCTTTATTTAATAAAATAGGAGAATTTTGCTTAACTTAAGCATAACAAAAAGTAATAATCTTCACAGACATTAAAACACTGAATTATCGAAAAGGAGATAACTTACATACAAATATAAGTTATACATCTTCAAGCATACCTATTTAGGCAATAAGAAAAAACAGGAACATACTTTGACACCGTACCTGAAAAGAGAAAGTACTAACTGAATTAGACGTTTGGCCGTGATATAAGTAGCTAGGGTGAAAATCAAATACACTGCACGTAGCTAAGGTGAAAGTCAAATATACTGCATTGCGCGCGAACTTTACTTTCTCTCGCCAATATATATCTTGGCGCACGTTCGTTTCGTATGCCTATCGAGTTTCATTATGCAAAACACCTAAATTTATGCTAACACATAAAATCTTCATAGTTGCCCGTATATTTCATTTTAGAGTCTATGGAACTTGTGTTACTCCAAACTGGTTGCTATATTTTAGATTAAACGAGCTTTAATTTCTCTTTAATGTGTAATCTCTTCTAAACATCGTAAATACGAAGGCTGACAAATGAAATTTCTTATCCAGTATATCGCCTCATCCCATCACTATCGCCTAATATTTTGCTAATTTAGCTTGAATGTTTTTGTGGTTTTGACATAATGAATAAAAATTTATCTAAAAATTAAATAGCAGTTATATATTTACAAATACATTTTAGGACCAATTATTCTACTTGTATGTTTGTATCATTTAGGTTCTAAATATGGACATACATATTAGTTATCCAACAAGGCTTCTGAATTCTCGTATCGCAGAGCGATACGAAAATGTAAGTACCAATCTTTCTACGAAAATTTTCAAGAACTGTCTTAACTATAAAGTCTGCAGAATTCTGTTAAGACTTTGTACAGTAAATCTTGATTGTTTTACAGTTGACACTAAGCAACGAAAGTTACTTCGACAAAGAGATGAAAGTGCGCAAATGGTCAACTGATTATTCCTTTTCTCACTTGAAAACTCATCCTCACTCCAACACAGCACTGGGGTTCAAACGTAGACCAACAGATACGTATGTTGTATTTTAATTACAAAAATTCTGATGTGTACACCACATGACTTCCTTTTACGGAATATTGAATAATGCGCTTTTTCTCCTGCGTTTCATTTAAACTTATTTCCCCGAATTTCATTAGTTATATATTTCTCATTCAATTAATTCAGTTCTCACTTCGCGGCAAAGCAAATATACGTAAAAACTCAAAATATCTTCGTTAAAAATTGAAAGATGTAGAAAAACATAAAACACCAATTACAGTTAAAACAATTTTAAAATATTTCACAATTAAAATTACAGTTTCTACACGAAAATAACCAATTTTGTCTGCGAGGAAGAATTTTTCGGTGTACAAAACTAAAAGTTTCGTTTTGCTGCAAACTAAAAGTGCAGAAAGACTTAATTCACTATTCTGCTAATTTTCAAATGCAACAAAATATGGCTGCTATAGTAAAAAAACTAGGTTTAGCCGCCCTTAAGCAACTTTTAAAGTGTTGATAATTCTACAACTATTGCATGCATATTGACTAAAGGGATAAAAACCTTAACCGGAGGAAAAGAAACACATAATTTAATCATCTATAAAGGAAAAATTTGCACAAGCCGAGTAACAGAGTGTGTATACATTCTGTTACTCGGCTAGGTAAATACTGTGACGTCGTGGATGCTTCAGTGGTAACGGAATTAACACTGTTAGTAGTGATGCATCATTTTTTATTCACACAACATATCACAGATACAACATTTAATTAATACATTTAGTAGTAGTAGTAGTAGTAGATTTATGGCGCAAAGCTCAATAGGCCATATGCGCCAAATACAGGATTCTTTTTTAACATATAAACTAAAGGAAAAAAATATAAAGACAACAGCACACTTTTAAAATCGAGGCAAGTAAAAAGATATTTAAATGATGGGATGAAAATGCTTATTATGACTCTGATAATGAGATATGCAGTATAGATATAAAATCCTAAAACATCTGATTAATTAAAATTCCAACATAAAATCTCAGGACAAAAATCAAATTAGATAATAGAAACCTGTTTCTTTCAGGTAGTGAAACAAATTGGTATTCACCTCTCTTCCGATTAATCGGTTCAGAGGCAAGTCGCAGCCATTAAAATACTTCTCACGAAGACTGTTAAAATATGGACATTCAATTAAAATGTGAGAGACTGAGAGACATACATTACAATTTGTACAAACAGGCTCATTCTCAGCTCTCAGAAGAAAGCTATGCGTCACTCTAGTGTGTCCAATTCTAAGGCGCGTCAAAAGAACTTCCTCCTTTACGATTGCAAGTAGTATGCCAATGCTCTATTTTAGCCTTCACCCTTCTCAACATTTTATGAAGTTCAATGTCCCAAAGTTGCTGCCATTTATTTCTGATCTTCTCTTTGATGACACAACGTATATCACTAAAAGGGATGAGGCGGTCGGTCATTTCAACAGCAGATTTCGCTATGATGTCCGCCAGCTCATTGCCCTTTATTCCTGTATATCCGGGGACCCAGCAGTACAGAATTTCATATCCACACCTTGTCAATTTAATATTCAATTTGAGGACATCCACTATCACAGAATTCTCGGTGCTACAAAAGGATTCTAAAGCTTTCAATGCACTGTAGGAGTCTGTATATACAATAAATTTTCCATGGTGCAGCGTTGAAGATGTACAAAAACGCATAATATATGGCAGTCAGTTCGGAGGTTAAGACAGAGGAAGCGTCGTGTAAACGTCTGCCTTCCATGTGGTCACCAATTATAAATGACATGCCTACATGGCAAGCTGACTTTGATCAATCCGTATATATGGAAACATAACTCCTGTAACTATGCCTGTGCTCAGCAAAAATTTGTCTATACATGATGTCATTAGTGGTTCTTTTTCCGTAACTGTGGAAAATGTCAAGAAGCTGGATTTGTACATTTTCCCAAGGTGCGATTTCAAAATACTGCTTGTGGGGACATATCAGACAGGGAGAATTCTTCAATGAGGGGACGAACTCTGACAGAAAAAGAAGGCACACAGGATGGACGCGCCTCAAATAAAAGGTCACAGCTATCATCAAATAAACACAGTTTGTAAGCATGGTCAGGTTGAGACAATATATTAAAATACTGTAAAAGAGACAACTCCTCACGCCTCAAACGGGATGATGGCTCGTGACAGTCAACATAAAGGCTCTGCACAGAAGATGTCCTGAAGGCTCCAGAACAAATCCGCAGAGCCTGATGATGAACAGGATCTAGTTTTAACAATACTGAAGACCGAGCGGATCCGTAAACAGCTGAGCCGTAGTCCAGTCTAGAGCGAATAAGAGCTCTGTAAATGCGAAGCATGGAGCAACGCTCTGCACCCCAGGAGGTGTTCGCCAGGACTTTTAAAATACTTAAAACTTTTATACACTTTTTCTCAAGTTTAGGACATGAGGAAAGTCAATTTTCGCTCGAACATCACCCCTAAAAATTTTACTTCAGGTGCAACTGGAATCACAGATCCATTGAGGTATAATTCAGGCTCAGGATGGAGACCTCGCTTTCTACAAAAGTGCACGCACACAGTCTTCTGTTTCGAAAACGTAAATCCTTGTCTTTTTGCCCATTCCTGGATCCTGTTCAAAGCGATCTGGAGCTGCCTCTCTACATGTCTCATGTCTGCTCCTCGGCAGCTAATCTGCAGATCATCAACATATAGAGATCCCAAGATGGTGGCAGGAAGTTCTTTTAGTACAGAATTTATTTTTAAACTAAACAGGGTTACACTGAGCACACAGCCTTGAGGCACACCCTCTTCCTGTTCAAAAATATCCGACGAAAACAGAGCCAATCCTTACTTGAAAAGTTCCTAGTGTTCAAGAAATTCTTGAAATGAAAATTGGTAGGTTGCCGCGCAAGCCACTCTCGTGAAGATCCCGAAGTATACCCGTATCTCCATGCCTTATCGCATAAGCTTTCTCAATGTCGAAATAATATCGAGACAAGGTGACTTCTTCTGACAAATGGCTTTTCGAATAGATGTCTCTAAGAGGAGCATGTTATCTACAGTCGTTCTTCCCTTTCGAAAACCGCTCTGATAAGGCGATATAATATCATTCTTTTCCAAGAAGTAGACTAGGCGGCTGTTTACCATCTTTTCAAACAGTTTCCATACGCAACTCGTAAGGGCAATCGGCCGATAGTTCGATGGATTCCTTGGATCTTTCCCTGGCTTAGCAATAGGAATTACAACAGCTGTCCTCCACGCACTGGGAAAATACACTCCTTCCACACTCTATTGTAAAGAGTGAGGAGGGCAGTCAGTGACTTATAGGACAGATGTTTTAGCATTTCATAATTTATGCCATCAAAACCGGGAGAAGACCTATGTGTCTGCAACAAAGCTCTCTTTAATTCCAGCATAGTAAATGCTCTATTGTAAGGCTCAGATTTGGAAGAGTTAAATGCGATGGGATTTATTTCAGAGTTCTGCTTGATAGAGAGAAATGCAGGTGAATAGTTTTTGCTGGAAGAAACGGCGGCAAATGTCTCACCAATAGTATTTGCAATTTCTTCTATGGAGCTAATCACTCGGCCATCTTTTTCCAAAAAGGAAAGTGAGTGGTCTTTATATATTCCGCATGCTTTTTGAACTCTTTCCCAAACCCGCTTACTAGGCGTAGAGGATGTTATTGACGATACATATGAAATCCAAGAATTCCTTTGGCTCTGCCTTCTTACTTTTCGTGCATTTGTTTTGGCTCTTTTAAATGCTATAAGGTTTCGCAGAGTAGGATATCTACGAAAAAATACCCCATGCTTTTTCTGTTTTTTCAGTGCTTCGTGACTGTCGCGATTCCACCATGGTTTCGAATATTTAAGTATTTTTCCTGATGTTCTAGGAATGGAAAGCATAGCTGCCTCAATAATAGTATTAGTAACAGCATCAATAGCATCATCAATATGCGCATCTTCTACAATTTCATCTGTGAGCTCTGCAATGGAAGAGAATAGTTCCCAGTCTGCCCTATCTAGTATAAACCCAGGGAGTCTAGACATGGGGTTTGCTCCTCTTCGTGCAAGAGACACAAAAATGGGATAATGATCGCTGTTGTAGAGATCACTTCCGACACTAAAAGTGCAAAATGGCAACAGAGATGGTGAACAGATGGCAAGGTCGAGAGCGTGAAATGTCCTTGAAGGTTAATGAAAGTAAGTATCCTGCCCATTATTCAGGAGACAAAGGCTATGATCTTCGATCATTCGCTCAATTTGTCTTCCTCGGCAATTTGTATCTTTACTACCCCAGAGCGAACTATGGCCGTTAAAATATCCTATTATGATGAAAGGCTCAGGCAGCTGCTCTAAAAGATCATTTAAATCTTGCTGATCAATGTGCTCATTAGGAGGATAAAGAGAAACGACTGAAGCTACAATATGAAAATTTACTTGTACAGTGACAACTTGGAGAGAAGTCGTCAAAGGAAAGGAACTTGAGGGATAATCCAGTGAGGTGAGGAGACATACACCTCCACTGGCACACTCACCTGCAAGGTTATCCTTCCTGACGAGAGAAAACCTTTGAAGTTTTGCATGTTAGCCTGGTTTCAGATTTGTCTCTTGTGTTGCCAAGCACACAGGATGATAAGCATTGATCATAGCTTTGATATGAAGCAAATTTCGGTGGATACCGCGACAGTTCCATGTGACGAGGGTGGCCATTATGATTGATGATTGTTCTTTCTGTGGTCCTTTTTAGTTTTGCGCTGAAGTAGATGCTCGGGAACTTCCATTCCCTCCTCCACTTCCATGCTGTCTGAATCTAGAGATTCAGAATTCATGTCATCTACAGAACTATTGCTTCGGCTTCTATTTTTGGATACTATTTTTGGAGTCACAGTTTTTGGTTTGCTCAAGATTGTTATTTCTTTATTTTGTATGACATGGGTTGGATTTTCCTTTTTCTTAATTGCAGGCTGCTGGGTTTTATTTGGTGGAGTCTGTGTACTTATGGAAGTTTGAGTGGCTATAGTGCGTGTTGATTTAACG